TTGGAAGCAGGAGTAGCGTCCACTTCCTAAATAATGTGCCTCTGGAAACTCTATGGACTTTGAGGAAAAATGATAGTTGTAGATACGATTCAGGTCTTTTGTTCATAGGGTCATTTTGAGTTGTACTTGATAGCAATCAAGAACAACATTATATATTTTAAGCACATATATATTTTACTATTCATATAGTATTAGGAGGGACTCAATGTTATATAACAAATAATATTAGGAGGGAGCTCTGGTGGCCTGATGGTAAGAAGTTGTGCTACCACCCTAAAGACGTGCAATTAGGATCTATCAGGTGTTCTGCTTGAGAAAGATAGATAATCTTCTCCTTTGCAATTTACAGCTTCTGAAAACCTGCTAGAGGATCAGTTAAGAATTTGTTCTGTCTCAACAGTACACAACAACAACTACCAACTACATTGTATTAGGAGTTACATTTAGGTCTTTGATCCATTTTGAGGCAGTTTTTTTTTTTAATATGGTGTGAGGTAGGGATCATGAATTTTTAATATATTTGAGTATGCTTTATACTCTTTTGGCAGTGCCAACAGTTTGTGTTTGACTAGTAACCTAAAGGCTGATGGCTTTAATTTACACAAAAGTAACATGGAAGAAAAAAAAAATCTAAAGATTTGCTTCAATAAGATTACAGGCAATAAAACCCTAAGGAATAGTTCTGGTCTGTAACAAAGTTACTATGAGTTTGAAATAACTCAATAGAGATTTCTTTTTTTAAAAAAAAAGTTTTCTTTTTCTTCTTTTTAATGAATTTTTAAAAATCTTTCTGTATTCTTTTTCTTTAGTGATATTGTGCGAATCATCTTGTTATAGCCAGCCTTTCCTTTCATCTGTCTTAATATTTTTTCTATTATCTGTTATACTGATTTTTCACTTTCTCTTTTCATTCCTGATAACCATACAAGAATTAGTGAACATACAGATACATATATATAATTAAAATGTCAATGTGAAAGTGAAATGAATGAAAGATTTCACTCTTTTAAAATGAATATATAGTTAACTTAATCCTTCATTTAGAGTTCTGAGTTTTGAAAATTGTATACACTTCTAAGACATTATTTATCCCAAAGTTTCTTCAGGCCCTTTCACTATCCCTCCTTTTCTCTCCCACTCCTATTATAAGCAATCAACTTCTATCACTTTAATTTGTATTTTCTAGATTTTTATATACATATAGACTCATGAAGGCTCTTTTGTTTTTCTGGTTTCTTTAATCCAGCACAATTATTTTGAGATCCATTCATGTCATTGTATGTATCAAGAATAAATTGGTACATATTGGTGCGTTGGATGTTCTTGGGCAAGAAAGAACAAGTCTATAAACATATTTTAGGTGTACTTGAGGATTAAATCAGAGAAGTGATGATTAGGAGAGAAAACATTTTTTTTGTTTGCCTTTCAAATTTTTTAATTGTGATTTTAATGAAAGTTTATAGAAGTTTGATTTTTCATTCATTCATTCATTCATTCTTTCATATTTTCTTCCATATACCTTCCAGTTTGAGATATGTGTGTGTGTGTATATATATATATATATATATATATATATATATATATTCATTGTTGTATAATTTCCTCCCTCTTCCACGCTAGTCTGCACAATTTATTCTGTACTTTTGTCATACAAATAATGTCTAATCCTGTATTCTTTTTTAACTGGTTTTCCTTCATCTATCTCAATGCAGTGTTCATTATTATTCCCTCTTTTCTTAGTTTCTCCCAACCCCCATGTCAATCCCGTTTTATAACAGTGGTGTTATGCTGTTATTTGTCCTTTTGTGACTGAGCTATTTCACTCAGCATAATGTGCTCCATGGTCACCAATGTTCCATTGTGTGAATATTCCATAGTTTTTCTATTTGTTTGTTGATGGCCACATGGGTTGCTTCCATTTCTTTGCTATTGTGAATAACACAGCAATAAACATGGGTGTGCATACATCTGTTTGAGTCATAGCTCTGGTTTCTTTAGGGTATATTTCCAGTAGTAGAATTGCTGGGTCAAATGGTATTTCTATTTCCAACTTTTTGAGAAAGCACCATACTGCCTTCCATAGTGGCCGTACCGTTTTACATTTCTATCAGCACGGTTCCAATCTCTGCGTGACCTCACCAGCATTTATTGTTTACTTCTCTGTTGAAATTTGCTATTGTTGCTGGGGTGAGATGATTTCTCATAGTTGTTTTTATTTGCATCTCTCTGATAGCTAGGAATTTTGAATATTCATGTATTTGTCATCTGAATGTCTTCTTTGGTGAAATGTGAGATTAAACATTTTTCTATATTCTCTGTATAATTCTCAATACTGGATATGTCTGGGAGCCAGCATGTTTTCACGGAAAAGGCCAAAGTTTAGGAGTCAGAAAATCACAAGTAGTCTGGATTTATCTCTCAGTGGGTAAGTTTAATAAATTTGTTTTTCAATACCTTCATTTCTTTATCTTTGAAAAATAAAGGTAATGATAGCACTGCTGAGAATTGTTATGAACATTAAAATAAGATCACTATCTTCAAAGTATTGAGTGCAGAGTTTGACATACAGCCAGTCCTTTAAAACATACAAGTTTCTGTTCTTTTGGGGTAAAATGCCCTTTATACTAGGGAAAATGTCTCATCCATAGAAGCTTCTTTAAGCTCAACTTTAATCTCATAGTGCCATCTGCTGTCCACATAGAACTATTACGTTAATTGAAGGGGAAAATGGGTTGTGCGTGTTGGGTTTTTTTTTTGTTTGTTTTTATTCGTTGAAAACTTTTTTCTAACAAAGATTGGCATCATGAACATATCACGACACATAAGCAACCATTTAAGACGTCATCTCCACTCTCTTCTGGACTAGTGTTTCAGAAATGGAAATGAGAGCTGAACTACCAGCTTAGAACCCTCCTCCTCCCCCTAGGCATTCTTTCAGGTTAAGGGGCAGGGCTCAGTGAAAAAAAAAGAGAACAATTTCTTCCAGAACCTCCTACTCCCGACATCACAGAGAAAGATTGAGTTAGGGGCAAAACTAAAACCCAGAGATTGTATTTCTAATCGTGTTCAACTTGGTAGAAAAGGCAAAAGTTTTTCCAAAACTGAGAAGATGGCAGAATGGGTGAAGAAGATGAGTGAGTTCATATTCAGTTGGGCTCAGAGTAGATGCTTGCAAAGAGTGTTGGAAGGTTTCCTCTTGAAGACTTTGGCCATTGTACCTTTGGCCTTGAGTACTTTACAAAGAACAGCACCATCAAAATGCATGTAGGTCTCTGAATCCATCATACCTGCGCCTGGGCTTAACTTTAAATGGCTCTGAAACAAGACTCAACAATCACTCTTGCTACCCGTGTAATCAATTCAAGTCAAGACCGGCAAATTGATGAAATTTAAATTTTATTGTGATTTGATTTATAAAGCAATGTGACAGTCTATAGAAATTACAGAGGAAAAAACTTATTAGGAAATGACTGAAATGATTAAGCTTAACAAACTACAAAGTATTTTTTAAGTGAATGCATGGCAAACTAGACTAAATGCTATAACTATACTTATTTTTTTCGTCATTGTGGAAGTACTGAAAAATGGTTAGTTGGAAACGGGGGGGGTCATTAGAAAAGGCTTCATGGAGGAGTTGGCATTTGTGCTGGGCCTTGAAGGAGGGGTAGAATGTTGATAGATGAAGATGGAGGGAAGAACATTTCTGCATTACTGACTCTAGAGAAAAAAAAATCTGAAAAACAAGAGGGCAAACAAACGCCCCCAGGAAGTGAAGCTTCCCAACTGAGAAAAAAAACAAACAAAAAACCCCCAAAAAAACAAAACAAAACAAAAAAACCCAAAACCAAAAAACAAACAAAGAAACCACAAAAACCTGAGAGGCCTGGGCCAGGACCCAAACCCTCAATCCCCCAGATGGGTCTTCAGTACCAATGATAACAAGAGGCACAGGGCAACTGGCTTGTTTGTAAACCTAGAAGCAGCAGGAGGTTTCACATTGCAATCAGGGGCCCCAAAATGGCTGTACTCTGCCTAGATAGATTCTCTGATCCTTCTAGTGTATTGCATTCCCTCTTCCTTCCTTTGGCCCAGTGATGGCCTGAACGGTAGTTTCATGTGCGTCAACATGCGCATGTGTGAGTGTACGTGTGTGTGTGGGTGGGTGGGTGGGCGACTGAGGCTTTATCTCCCACTGTAACTTCTTCCATTTTTCCCTCTTGTGGAAGACAGCTGGCTTCCAAGGAGCTGGAGTTCAGGCCTTTTGAACCATCAAGAATTGTCTGCCCACGGACACTGACTGCTGGCTCTAAACTTTTCCTGAACTCCAGTTCTTGAGTAAGCACCTAGGAAGCTTCCTCAACATGAAGGCAAACCTTACTATCATCACGGGTTAAGGCTTTCTGGAGATTGTGATGCTGGTGATTTCTACAGTTTCTGGAGATTGTGATGCTGGTGATTTCTACAGTTTCTGGAGATTGTGATGCTGGTGATGTTGAAAACTGTGTGGTGACAAGGGTTGGGGACTTAAAAGCAGGCTCTGGCTATTGGTTGGAATGCTGCTGGGAAGTCTGTGGTGTTCAATCAGGAGCTGAGACATCAGGCTAGACCCGCTTGGCCTTGGTCACTCCTCCTCCTCCTTCCTCAACATGCCTTCTAGGGATCTTAATATTGGGCATACAAAAGCAGCAGAGATATCTGTAAGGTGCCCAAGCCCTTGTTATTGCCCTGCTTGAATCTCGCCTCCAGAAGCCCCATAGATCTTTTATCTGCTCTTATCAACTCTTCAGTTATATCTATCACCTCCCCTTATTCAGCTGCTGGAGGTATATAAGTCATGTAGCTACTGATGCTACTTAGATTGAGAGGTATGGGGGACAAACAAAAGGAGAGAAAAAGTTAATTATTGCAAATTTCTTTTTCAAAGAGTATAAATCTGAAATAAGACTTGATAAGCTTGACAGGAAGTCAAAGCTCTGTCAAGATTCTCTAGGACTGGGAATTCAGAGCTCAGTGAGATCCTCGCTGGAAATAACCTTGAAGTTGAGGTGACCTGGCTTGATTTTAGCAGTTGGGCCACCCTTATCACGCAGGTTCAGAGCCTTGAGCTCCCGGCAATCACTGGGGTCAGCATCCAGAGTAACCTGCCCCAAGAACTGATCACAGAACTTCCTTTTGTTCCACACCTGTCAAGAGGATGACATAAGTCAAGGAGATGCAGATGAACAACCTTCTGTGAGATTGGCCTTTACTGGTTCTAGAACCCAATGCTAAGTTTGAAAAGGTCTGTTTAAAAAAAAATCAAGAAACAATTTTGATTTTTCACTGATACCTTTTGCTTGAGTGGGGCCACTTTTAACCTATATCTCAAAGATATAGTTAAAAAAAAAGATGCAGAATTCAGGATCATCCTTGACCCTGTGAAATTTTTAGTTAAAGATAGTTGGTCAGCTACACTGAGTCAGAAGAACCCTGCCAGGCTAGTGTTTCATGCTGACTTAGCAATATGAGTGTTGTCTGAGTTGGCTCATGTTTCCCCTCAAGTGATTTTGCGAGGCAGGTATACATGTGTCATGAGCGTCTGGGCTTCTGTTCACAATGAAAGGGCAAAGAGCAGCTTTAAGGCAGAGATTAAGGATGTCCATGTCTATGCTTTATGAGAAGTGTCTGTAAGTACAAAATACCCAAACAAACAAAAGGGACGGGGAACCTGAGGGTAACCCCTGCTCTACATACATCCTACCCATATTTGATACACTTTGGACAATCTAGTATCTGCTACCATGAGCCACCCTGGGGGATCCTGTTTGCTTTCTTACCTGTATGATAATAGGAATGTCAGTGGTTCTTCTGTAGAAAATGGCCTGGATGTCAAAAACAGCATGAACAGTATTATTTTGGACAGAGGAGCGGACTTCCTCCTTTCCACACTTGATGACCAAATAAGGGTTTACAGCTGCAACAAAGTAATATTTGTTTTTAATACAGTGTCATTGATAGAAGTTCCCTTTTCCAGTCAAGCAGGAAGACCATGGTTTGGAACGACATACATAAGCAATGAAACTTAGTTTTGCTTTCCCAGAGTCCCCTGCAATCAATGCTTACGTTCATTGGGATACTTCTTCTCCAGACCCTCAGCACTGTGAATAGTGATCTGGGTAACCACTTTTGGGTAACCACGAGCCAGGTTCCAGCAGGACATTTTGGGCATATCCATGGTCAGTTCCCTGGAACATAAAAAAAGAAGATATGTTATCTGATGAGATAAACCCAGCAAAGCAAAATGTTGCTGAAAAGAGGAGATGCTGACTAACCAAGGCTTTTTCTCCTGAGATATGAATATATATTATTTTCTTCTTGCTTTGAGGACAAGCAGGTAATGGTCTGAGTAGGCAGGATGAAGCAATGAAGCAACAAAGTAGCTTTGGTGAGCCAGCACTCACAACATAACAGAAGAGCAGTGAGGGGTGCAAGTTGTTTAAGAAAAGGCCAAGCCAACCAGAAAATAGAAGATAAACTGTAAGTAAAGGCCTCAGGCGATAAGCCTGCTCCACTTACATGGCAAACTCCAAGCTCAGAAGCTCAGACTTTCACTAGGGAATTTCCCAGAACCCCACTTAGAGAAATATTTCTATCACTACAGCTTCACACAAGTCTGACTTGAAGACATTGTTCCATTGAGTGTCTACATAGGGGAATGAGAGTCAAGGGCATTAGAACTGGAGCTAAAGCAGAGAATGGGAGTCTGTTGGGGCCGGCCAACCTGAGTTTGATGGGCACTTCACAGAAGATTCTCAGGAGAAACTCGCTGGTGCGGCCATTCTGGAACATGGTTGGGACAAGCACATAGTTGCCCTTCTTCAGGTACTTGCTCAGGAACACAGTGCGGGCATCTATATAGGTAGAAGTCCCAGCACGCTCTTGGATGTAGAGGTGGTGAAGTCGGAATTTGCGGTTCATCTCCACCTGGTAATGAGATGGGATGAACTATTTCTTCTTGTTCAGTCAGTTGGTGTGGTAGAAGAGCCCGTGTTTCCTTTATTCTTGGATCTTTCTTAATTCCCTGAAAGCCTCAACCTTGCTACTTTTTACTTTGTTTCCCATCATTCCCTCTGTTCCAGATGCTCCCTCTTACCTTGAAGAGCTCGAATCCAATGACGTAGTTCTCGGGTCTTCCAATTCTGCGGTAGTTGCGAAGGTCCTTTTGCTGCAGTGACATGATTATCTTGTGCCCGTCCTCAGGCACAGTGAAGATATACTAAGAGAAAGAAGTGACCAAAACTCAGAACTTCTAGTTTAGGTGAGTCAGCTTAGATTCCTAGGAAGAAAATGACACTGGGAACCAGAGATATTTGAGTGACTTGTTCTAGCCTTTGCTCTTGACTACACAACGAGGCCTTGGCTAATTCATTAACTTACTGAGTGTAAATCATAACACTTTCTTCTCCTATTGGCGTTCAACATGTGTTGAAGGACAATTTTATCCCTAGATCTTCAGTGCTAAAGAGGGTAGGCTTTGTTTTAGTAAGTTTCTGGAATGATCACATTTTCTTATTATTTTCCTTTCTTCTTAAAACGTGTCTTCCAAAATATTCCAGAATCCAGAAAAAGAGAAAAAATATTTTTGTTTGACTCAAACTGATAATGCAGCATACCCCTGGGCTAGTCTTCTATTGCCAATCCAGACATCAGACATATGGCTTGTGGAGGGGTGGGATCCCCTTTCTCAGAGCACTGCTGCTTTACTTCTTCTTCTACTACTACTACTACTACTACTACTACTACTACTACTACTATCATCACTTTAGAGGAGCTGCAGGCCCATGCCAGAGACTTGCCCACATCATGTGGAGAATCCTGGTGCTGTTGGAAGTTAAATTTAAAAAGCATCATCTCCCAAAGATCAACCACACGAAAAAAGGCCATATCCTCAAGCTTGGTATATGTGCCTGATATCAGAGACATTCCCAGTGTTGTCTATGAGGGTGAGGTGGGAGTATTAGGAGTTCTTTCTTTTTTAGAGACAACTAAAGTGGAAGATATGGGAGGAAATATGAGCTCAGGAAATCAGTGTTGGTATCCTCTAAGATGTCTGACCAAGTAGTTCCACTGTTAATGTCTTAGTTACTTAGTGTTGCTATAACAGAAATAGCCTTAGTGTATGGTTTTAAGAAACATTTATTCTATCACATTTTAGGAGGTTAGACATCTGAATTGTCAGGTCAGCACTAGGGGAAGATCTCTCTCTCTCTATGGTGTAGGGGAGTCTTTGTCTCTTCTCAATAACTATTGAGGGGGCATTGATTCTAAGCTTGAGAAAAATGGCCTGGGTCAAAAGGAGAAAAAGAAGAGCAGAAAGGTGGGTTCACAGCAGACAGCTGGCATGAGAATGTGAGAATGAAAATCCATATAGTAAATATATATCCAAGAGAATAGTTGGACAGTAAAGGGAAGTGATGATGAGTTGAGAAAGTGTCAGAGAGCAGAGCCATTCTCTCCAGTGTGGAATCAGTACAAGGAAGTGAAAGGAAGTCAAAGAGGCACATCAGGCAATATGGCTGGTGTGGGAGAGGCCACCAGAGGAAATGACTGTGTTTCTATAATGTCTCCAATGTATACAGCATTCTAGCCAATTCCTAGGATCTTGGTAACGCAACTGATGCAAAGGGAAGCGCTGATGGCAACACTGGGGTGGGGGGAATCACCCTTAGTGAAATAATATAGAGAGTTAAGATGAGATTTGGTTTCTCATTTTCTGCTAATCCAAGGATGGGGGCGGGGGGAGGAAAGACTCCTACCTGGGGGTTCTGCAAGAAGGTTTCACGGTTGTTGTAGCATCCTCCAGAGCGGTTCATCAGTGGATCATCGTTTACAGTCCAGCATCCCACGGCTGATTCCATCTCTTGGCGGCCAAAGAGAGAATTGTTCACATTGCGGCAGACATACAGTTCGTGGAAGTTGCGGCAGAAGTCCTCCAGGCTCATCCTGAACAGAAGGAGCACAGGAAAGAAACAATGATGATAGTTAACACCTGCCCCTGAAAGTCCATGGAGAAACCTCAACATCTGCAACTCAGAAAACCCCTCCTCACCAAAACTCTCCATCGTCAGACATAACAAGGCCCAGGTTCTTGCGATCGGCTACGGTCAGTTGCTGCCATTCTTCAGAACTAGAGGAAAATAAAGAATAGTTGAGCTTGCTACTTGCCATTGACTTTCATGGAATAGAATGCATGAAAATCGGACCTACTTTATCTCACTTCTGGTTAAGATCTGATACCCGAAAAGAGCACATTAATGTCACTGAACACTGAGAGTCTCCTAGGTTCTGAAGACACGAGCTTAGAAGAATCACAGGGCTTTGGGAAAACAGGAGTTCAAGTGGAATGCCACTTACATGTCACTCCAGGGGCCACTCCATTCCTGCCTTCCCAAGGGGTTCCTCAGGCGAATCATGTACAGCTTCTCAGTACCGAAGACTTCGATAAGTCTCTCCCCAAGGCGGATCTTACGAACATCAGTGACAGTGTAGATATGACCCTTCAGCAGACCCCAGTCAGTTTCAACATCCTGTTCCTCCTGATTGGAACACTAGGAACAAAGGGGGGTAAAGTATATATTTACACACACACACACACCAGGACATAGGATTTGAAAAATAAAGTCCCTGGATCACTCTTTTTGAGAGTTGAAGCTAATTTCCCCTTGTTCTTATTGTGCTGTTGAGTCACCTATGACTCATACTGACCTTATGTACAACAACCCTAAAGCCTGCCCTATCGTGGGCCAATCTCACTGACTCCGACACACCTAATCTCACTGTTCCAGTTATCGTGTCAATCCATCTCATCTGGAGTCTTCCTCTCCTGTGCTGTCCCACCACCCTTCCAACCATGATGTCCTTCTCCAAGCATTGGTCCCTCCTGGCTATGTACCCAAAAGTGTGTGAGATGGAGTTTCAAAGTACCTTTGCTGCTGAAAATTAAATTTGATCCTGACACCCAAGTTGGCATAAAAAAAAAGGTGAAGTAAAATGAACAATTAAAAGAGTGTACTACAAAAACCTCATTAAAACAAGCCCGATTCAAACTCCCTATAGTAGTGAAACAAAACTTGGTGGGGTTGGTTCATTACTTGAAGAATTTATCACCATGGTTTAGGGGCAGGAAGAATCAAGGGAGAGGGCTATTTTCATCAGCGGGGATGGTGGGCTCATCTCCTGGGAGAGGATTGCTACACAAGGATCAAAAGTTAAAGCTCCTCAGTCTTTGCACGAGGGCACATTTCATGGATTGCCTTTCTGAGTTCCATAATGACTTTTCATGGACTTATGGGTTGAAGGCTATGATTTTTAACTAACATGTGTAGTATCCTCTGACCCAGCTGGTTGTTTCCGGTGAACACAAACCTCAACGGAGCAGCAGATCAGACCTCCTTTGGTGAATGTTTTGTAAAGTTCTTTGAACAGCTTGTACTTCTCCTCAACAAGCTCACTGTATCTGCCCTTATGCATGTCAATAGTTTCAGCCAATGTGCCAGTGAAGTCCACGATGATATCAGTGATGGTCAAGCTATCTATAGCCTCATAACAGCCAAGCAGCCTGGGAGGGGGAAGTAAAATTATCATTCAAAAAGTATTCTTACGTGTCAAAGACTTGATGTCTCTAAGCACTTAGAATAGGTCCTCTCCATGATTTACTAGCTGGTTTTTCTCTTGGTATAGGATGAGAGATACTGAGATTACAATCAAAGAATATCTAGTCTTGAGCTACTTTGGTCAAGGATAGGCTACTGTAGAAACTTTTTTCTACCGTGACTATTAGACAAAGAGAAAATCTGAGTCTATCAGGCCATGTGATTTGCCAATTAACTCCAGGAAGGTGTAAGTAGAAGGATTTAGGAGCTTATTGGAACTTTGGACAGTTGATTTTTCCTGTATCAGATTTCTGAGGGCCAAGTCTAGACCAAAAATGATGCCTCAACTTACACAGAGAGCCTACATAACTTATACTTGGTGGTTGGGTTGGAGTAGAATTAGCTTCTATGAATGAATGTAGCTCCTTACTTTGCATACGCTTTTTCCAACAGAGCATTCCAAAACTCATTCATAGAAGTGGAAAAGGAGTAGATCAGATCTCCATTGATGGTGGGTAGCAAGTCATCAACGACCACCTCAATCCACTCTCCAAAATGCCAGAAACGGAAGTGAAATATTCCAGCATAGTTACGTGGCTTTCGAGGATCCCAGTCTTGTTCTCTAGAACTGGGAATTGTCTGGAAAAGAAAAGAATATACCATCAAATGTTATTTACCAAACCATATTTAGGTATTTATACAATAAACTCCTGGCAAATCTGTGTGGTACAGGAAACATATCAACTACATCTGACTTGGAACTATCTAGATATTTTGCCCACAACGTTTAACTCCACAATTCAAATTTTTTGTTCATGATGTTATCACTATGCCTAAACTGAATGCACACAGGAGTACGGAGGGTAGCTAGAGATAGCCAATAAGATGTTAGTTTCTATAGTCAATAGAGTAACCAGATGATGAGAAATGGACTGGATAAGCATAGTCATGACTGCAAGTAGAACTATTCAGCAAAGCATTTTACAAAGTGGAACAATCAAAACACAAAGCCCAACTAAGTCTCAAGTGCTCTAAAATTTAACCTTGAATAAAATAAAATGAAATTAAGACATTCTCATTTTTATATCACCTTTTCACAAAACCAAAGTCATTAAAGTTCATTCAATTCCAACTCATGAGGACTCTCCATTGGACTTCTGAAGATATAAACCTTAATGAGAACAAACTGTTTCAATCTTTCTCTTGCACAGTATCTGGGGGTTTCAAACTACTGACCTTTTGGTTAACAGGCCAAAATGTTATGGCACTAGGGTTCCTTTTTTTCACATAACAATTATACCTTAGTCTTCTAAGATGAGTTTTTGAAGGAAAAAGAATTTTTCTTTTCCTACGTAAATCTGACACTCCATTCTTCTGAACTCTACCCCAGCAGCAAGGGGACTTTTGTATTATCAAGAATTTCTTGGAAACTTTTTCACAGATCTGTTTCCGTTATTCTCGGTTTGTTTTTTTTTTCTGCCGTTCAGACAATAGTAACCTCCTGGCCCCTCCTGTCTTTATATTACAGGAAGTAGAAGGAATGCAGAGTATGAACCATGCAGAGATACTTAGTTAAAGAACTGAATGCGGCATTAAAAGAGCCATGAAAGTGGAGCACGGGAGATTTTCAGGGCTGTGAAACTTTTCTGTATGAGATAGTAATGGCGGACACATGGCATTATGGACTTGTAAAAGCCAGTAGTGCTGTACAACAGAAGGAATGAGCCATAATATAAACTACAGTCTTTAGTTAATAATAATGATGATGAGGATGATGAGGATGTAACAATTTTGGTTCATCAATTATAAAAAATGGACTACACAGAGGTAAGATGCCAATAACAGAAACAATGAATGGACTGGATATGGGGGATATGGGAACTCATCTGCACAAATTTCCTGTAAACTTTCCAAAAAGAAAGTCTATCAAAAAGAAAAGATCAACTAGTATATGTGACAGAGCAAGAAGAGTAAAATGTTAGTGGGTAGAATGTAGGTAGCGACATGGGTCTTTGCTGGGAAATTCTTTCCATTTTTCTCCCAGTGTGAAAGGTCTCACAACAAAATGGTAACGTCATCTCGTTCAAACCACTGCCTCCAGGAAATAAGACTATCTAAGAAAGGTATAAACAGGCTTTTCCCTAAAGTTATTAAAGAAAACAGGAAGTTGGAGACTGAGATCCACACTAATGGGAATACCTTTGTCCAGTGCAATGCTTGAACAGCCAAACAGGAAAATGCAGAGATAATTGGCTTGTGTCCCAGTCTCCCTTGAGTCAGCCGATGGTTGCTGATGTTGCCCACAATCAGACGGGGGTCATCACAGATGTCCTGTGGATAAAATACTTGATTATTAGTCTGATAAGAGAGTTTTCCCAGAATCATCGGGAGCTAGGCTAATCATTTTGATAGGCTTCGCAGCGGAGGTGAGGTTGGGAAGATGCCTGGAAGAGTTGGAATAAAAGAAAATATAAGTGATTGGGAGGAAAAGCGTTATGTGAAGGAGTAGTAGGAGAAATTTGAGGAAGAGGAGAAGCTTGGGTCCAAGTAGCATAGGAAGTATAATGAGAGAGGCTGAGATGTGCTGGTGGAAACCCTTAAATGTAGTTTTAATTGAGGTTTGGATCTTACACATCAGAAAGCCTATCACAGCACATTCTGACTATTCTATTTTGTCAGGATGAAAGTTTTCTGAAGTGTCTGTGCTTTGAAAGATGATGGAATCTAGGAGCCAAGGTCTGGGGGAGGTGAAGCCTAATGCTTTTCTCTACCGAGGAAGACGAGTAGGGAATTTTTTTCTAACATAAAGCAAAAGCAATAGGAGTGTCAATGATAACCAGGCTTTTTACATTTTTGGATGAATATAGATGATAGCAGTATTAAGTGACCACCCACAAGAGCATTTCACCAAACACCCTTCTTCCTACAAGAAATATTCCAAGAGGGTCTGAGCAGAGACTAGAGATATTTGTTCGTACGTGTCTTCTGCTACTGTGCCATTTCTACCAAGGTTAGGAGGATGGGACCTATAGGGTATAGTTCCCATAAAATGTGATAAGAGCACAGTAGAGTAATTTATTTGCGAGGTAGTCAAAATACAAAGTTCCACAGAGCTAGTGACTTGAAGCTTTAGGGATGAGCAGAATTAGGACAAAGCTGAACAAAGGAGGCACATGGAAGCATTAACAAAGACATACATGAGCTAAAACATAGCAGTATATAAGACCCCATCTAACAGAAGACATGACTATGTGACTCAGACTATTGGTATTTGCAGAGTTTACAGCCAGGAAATAACAATGAGGTCTTGAGTAGATAAAGAAAGTCTCACGGAGGAGGCCTTTGGCTAGTGCTTTGACATTCTGCTTACTCAGAAGAAATGAAAATCTAGTCTTGAAAGGAAAGAAAAGCTAGACACACATTCTTTTCAGAAATTAGTAAACCAAGACAGCTATATTTTACTGGTTATCAACTCTCTCTCTCTTTCTCTCTCTCTCATGCTCTTTAACGAACATAATTCTCTTTGATAAAGGATCTGGTTTACAGAATGAAGCATTCCATATATTCTTTAAAAGCCAAAATAACTCTGGAAAGGAAGAGGCATTCTGGGCAGAGACAAGTCCAAACTGAAGATTAATCAGGTATCTTTCTGCCAAAAAGAGATGGTTAGGTGAGTTGTCAGCTCTGGTTTTCTGGTCTTTTTTTTTTAAAAAAAAAAGATGTATTTTTTTGTATTAGAAGAAGACTGCAAATATTTTTTAAAGATTGGAGGTTGACTGCTTTTCAATTTATGGAACATAGATCGGGTGTATTGATTGAGTTGTTTGCCACATCCTGATATTCTTCCTCTTTCTTGTCATTTCTTTGCATTTTCTAAGAGTTTAAGTTTTCCTTTCTAGGGTCAGGATGTTACCAACTTATTGGGAGCAAGAAAGAAAGTTATCCAATGGATTTTTGGACTTAAAATTACACATGCCATCATTTTCAAACGTGGGAGTGAGCATTTGATATGGGAAGAAGTGTGCTTTTCGGTCATTACGGTGAATTATTCACTGGCTTGTGTAGAGTTATTAGTGGTTGAGGTTACATTACAGTGTCTTGTATTTCCACAAAGTTTTCATTTCACGGTGGTGACCTAGGTTTTATCAACAATCTAGCATGCCAGCTTCTATTTAAAACATAAAAGAGCAAAGAGAGACAAAACAAAATCCCAATCAAGAACTAGGTAATTATCCTCCTGTGGATGAAGACTGGAGGTAGGGGTGTGTGTGTGTGTGTGTGTGTGTGTGTGTGTGTGTGTTTATTTGTTGTTGTTGTCGTGGCTGACCCTTCAGTGAGTTTTCAGAGGCAGTAAAATCCCACGGGAGGAGATTGCCCATCAAGCAGCTGGAGGATTCAAACTGTATGCCTTTGTGTTAGTAACCCACTAGGCCACCAGAGCTCCCTGTATTTATTATTGGTGTTATGTACCATTGAGTCGGAACCAACCCATAGCTGACCCTCCAGTGGGTTTTCATAGGTAGTTAATCGCTCAGGAGAAGATTGCCCATCCTTCTCCCATCAAATCAGCTCCAACTCACAGTGACATTGTTTACAGCAGAAATAAACCACTTCTGGATTCCGTGCCATCCTCACCAGCACGACCATACTTGTGGCATTGTTGCAGTCATTGTGTCAATCCATCTCCTTGAGGGGCTTCCTGTTTCAGGGTCTGAACTACGTGTGTGTGTGTGTGTGTGTGTGTGTGCGCGCGCGCGCGCGCTCGTGCACGCACAATCAGGGGAAACAGCCATTTCAGCAAAACCTCATTTCCTTTTCTAAACTGGACTATGCACATTTTACTCCACCACTCCTATACTTAATGGCTATTTAATAATGAGTTTAAAGCATAATAAAATTTAGTCACAGAATGTCAAAGTTTGAAAGAACCTAAGAAGCCATTATGGTTCAGCCACTTCATTTTAGAGATAGAGAGACAGGCTCAGAAAGAATATATTACTTGTCTCTAGTCACCTAGCTAGCTTGTAGGAGACCCACAAGTAAAGTTTTAGTCTTCAGAACCACATACAGTTCTGAAGACATCTCAAGATATCATATCACATCTCTCAGTCTATATCAGTGGCCACTATATCAGGGATAGAGGCACTACCATCTCTTTGTTGTCCATGCCAGTGTTCCCTGCTGTTTTATATAATAGCTTTGGTAGTGTAGTAGATTAAGGATTAGGCTACTAACAGAAAATTAGGCCGCTCTAACCCACTAGCCACTCCACAGGAGTCAAAGAAGGCATTATCTTCCCATTAAGATTTACAGCTTTGGAATCAAATGGAGGGTCACCATGAGCTTGAATTAACTTGAGAACAGTGTGTTTGACGTTTGGTGTGTCTTATATGACACTCATATAAGAATCTCTCCACCTTTCTGGAAGAATTTAAGTCATCTGTCCACTTCCATATTCTTCCAGGCTAATGATCCTGAATATGTTTTAATGTTACCAACTTATTCATTAAATAGTTACCAGTCCTCTCCTATGCATTAGCCAGCACCATGATGTGAAAGATGGGAGACAAATTCTTGGTATGATTCAGCTTCTTTTTACCTCTTTAATAAATTGTTGTTTTTGTTGATTGCCTTTGAGTGGAGCATGAATCATAGTGACCCTATGAACAAAAGACCTGAAGCCTTTCTCTATCATCATTTCTCAAAGTTTATAGAGTTTCCAGAGGTGCGTGGTTTAGGAAGTGGATGCCACTAAATTAAAGAATTAAAAAAAAAAAACACCACAAAAAATCCACTAAGAAGCAGCCAAGGAGATAAAGAGGTAAAGAGTAACAAGTCAATGAAAATCTAACAGCTGAATAGACTTTTTGGTTACAAATTTGAAAACAATAAAATGAATGTTTTGCTGCCTTTCTCTCTAGTTTTGGACACTGGGTGTTCTCCTGTTGGAAGGTAAGGAAGCAAGGCTAGAGACATTTTGTTGTTGTTGCTATTCAAAAAACTGAGATGCAGGATGCAGATGGGACATTTCAGCCTGAGCTGTGCTGGAGTGAGGGTGGGAGAGAGGTCACAGCTCACATATTCAAATATTTGGGTGGCTTGGGAGGGAGGAGAGATACTGAGCCCCTAATGGCTACCAGCTGTGTTGGCACAGTTGAAGTGATCCTTGAACTGGGCTGTTTGTCAAGAAAAAATAATTTCTTAGAGAAACATACAACTAAGAAGTTGAGGACCAAGAGCAAAGCCAGGAATGATCTGTCCTGTCCCCATATCCCCCTGGCCCCCAAGCCAAGCTAAAGACTTCTATAAGCAAAGCAAAGCAAAGCAAAGCAAAGCAAAGCAAAGCAAAGCAAAGCAAAGCAAAGCAAAGCAAAGCAAAACAAACAAAACAGTTTTTTTTTCTAGGAAGTATGTTCTCTATACTGAGTTTTGAGGGACCCTCCCAATGTTCTCACTTAAACCCCCTTTCCCAAAGACTACGGGGTAGAGAGTGGGGGGAGAATATCCTTTACAAAACCTGAAACCCTGCAGAAGACACTCCATGTGACTCCCTTTTCACTGACCACGTCTCTATCTCTATTTGTTATTCTTTTAAAAAAATCATATAGGTGAAATTTCCTGACAATAAACACAGAATTTCAAGACAATCCCCACAAACCCCCTTTCCCTAGGCCCACTCCCATACCTGCTTAGAAAACTAGCAGTCAGAAGGGTGGAGACCCTTTAGAAGTGTCACATGCATTCTAATGGTACCGGGGAGATGTCGATATGGCCATTTACAATCAAGGACAGCCCTACAGTAAGTAGCTTTGTGAAGCAGTCATTACTTTATCCTTATAAAATGGAATCAACTCCAGATGAAGTAGGTAGACTTCAGGCTCAGGAACCATTGTTGGACCAGCCTCTCTCAGAGAATCCACTTTGTTTGTTGGGAAATGTTACTTTTTTCAATAAGATCTGATCATCACTAAAACCTTTTTTTTCCCCTTCCTCATCTTTCCATAGACAATTCCGTATGAAGCTTGGGAATAATAACTATTGTTCATCTTAAACTCAATTTCCATTCTCAATGTAGGTACCAAAGGTAATTTTTTTTTCTTCCTACTTGAATCTTCCCACTTCCGCTTGGAGACTCTATGCATAAATTCCAAACTGCTTTCAATGGGAAGATTTTAGATATTCATCTAATGGATTATTATTCATCAATAAAAAGATTCTGACACATGCTATAATTTGAGTGACCACTGAGAACATTTTCGTAAGTGAAAGAAGCCAGGGACAAAAGCATATATATATATATATATATATATATATATATATATATATATATATATATCCAGTTCATTTATAAGAAAAGACCAGCATAGGCAAATCCACAACAAGCAGATTGGTGGTTACCAGGAGTGGAGGTGAGGTGAAATGAGGAGTCAAGTTGTTTAGGTATTAACAGTGTTTACAAGCACAGAGGCCTATAAAGGCAAAAGCTTTTCAACATGGAAGAGGGCAGAGACTGAAAACACCAACTAAATCATGCTTCCTCCATTGTGGAGACTTCAGATACTATCTCTGGTTGAGTATGAGCCTACGTGGCATCCTAAGGAACAAGATGTCTGTAATCTTTCTTCTAAATCAAGATCTCAGGCCTGCCAATGAGGCAAATGGGGCCAGCAACTCATCTGGCCTTCCTGAGCCAATTCAGAGGCCCACACTCTATCTCAATTTTCTTGGCAGGAGGCCAGAGAAATTTTTACGTGGTTCTTGACCACAGGCTTGGCCTCCATTCTGGCTGGAAAGGAATCCACAGCTTGTTAAGGAGGCTCAGATTGTGGTCCAGAACCTTAGCTTTCCCCCTCCTATTCCCCACAAAGAGACTCCCTTTCCTACCACTCCAATCCACAATCATCTTGTCTTCTTCACAACCCTAGACAATTTACTGTCTGTATATTGAAAACAGGACTTCTTTTTACTTGGCATTTTGTTATTGAGCTCTTTGGAAACTCAATGTGAATATCTCCAACTAACTAGGTACTCGAATGTGAATACCTCCCCAAAAGGGAACTATGGTGGTCTAATGCCAGGAAGCTGGGCTGCAATCCCCAAGGCACATGGTTCGAGGCCACCAGCTACTCTGCAGAAGGATGGAATATCTTCTCCTGTGCAATTAACTGCCTCTGAAAACCTGCTGGAGGGTCAGCTGTGGTTCAGTTACAACAATTGATACAGATCTGTATCTTGCATAGAGAGTGGCATAAAGTAGAAGCTCAATAAATATTTCTGGAGAAACTCTCCCTTTTGGCTTCATAAGACTAAGCTCAGAATGAAATTGTGAGTCAATTCATGGATGTATACCACAGTGTAAAACGCAAGGAGGAAGGGTCCCTGGAGATAAACTACATATTTTAGCAAAAAAATGTGACACCACTCACTCCATGTCACTGAAATGGCAAAATGGTAGAATGAAAAAGAAGATGGGCTTTAGAGTCAAACATAGCCTCAAATCCCAGCTGTTGGCAGTCTGCCACTATGTAAATTTCTAGCTTTTCTCTGATTCCCAGTTTCACATTCAATAAAATGGCATCATAATGTCTACCTTTCTTTTAAAACTAGGAAAAAAGGAATACAACCCAAGTAATTTTAAACATATCTCTTTTGCCATGTCATGGTAAATAAGGATGCAGTGAAATGAAATGATGTACAGACAATGTCACAAATGCAGTATCTTGGCCATGGCAGACACGCAATAAATGTCAATTCCTTTCTATTTCCATCCCTGTTCACCTTCTCTCTGACACTCTCTCACCACGGAAAGCCTATTGCTTGCTTGCCTCAAGAGGCAAGATGGACTATTGCCATAGTTGTTGAGATTTCCCGCCCCCGCCTCCGCTAATTTATCTAGGATTCTGTCCACAGAATTTGGAAGGTGAAGGCAAAGGACAAAAGACGGAGCCAAGATAGAAAGGGAAGGATGTATTTAAAGAGTGGCCAGTACAGGAAGTACTGTCAACTTGGCTCACATCTGGGGAATGGCTTCATGTTGGTTTGTTATTTTGCCACCCACCAGGTCTCCTCCCGCCTCATCCTGAGTCTCACTCATCGATCACTCCCTTTCTCTCCTGTGTCTTCAATTTCTTCTTTACTGGTGACTTCCTAGCCTATAAATATGCTCACATCTGGCCTAAAAAATGAACCTCCCTCAATTTCTTGCCTCTTTTTTGGCAATTTCTACCCTATCAACCTCTTGAGTGGTCACCCCCCATTTTCTTTTTCTTAATTTTAATTTTTATTTATTTTAATAAAAGTTTACAGAGACTTTGGATTTCCATTCATTCATTGTTGCACACTTTCCTCCCTGCTCACCCCTCCTCCAGTTCACTTTTCTCTTTGAAAAGTGAAAAAAAATTTCATTGTTATACAATGCCCCTCCCCTCAGTCCACTCTACTCTGCAGCTTTCATTCTGGACTCTTGTCATGACAATAATACCCAGTAATGTATTCCTCCCAAACAGTTCTCTCCCTCATCTGTTTCAATGCAATGTACATTATTTATCCCCTCTTGGTTTCTCCCCAACCCCGATGTCAGTCCCACTTTACAATATAGGCACTATGCAGTATTTGTCCTTTTGTGACTGAGATATTTCACTCAGCACAATGTCCTCCAGGGTCACCCATTCACTCCCTATTTTCACCATGCATTCCGAAGAGTGACTCCCAGACAGTGTTCTCTTTATTCTCTCTATGGATTTATGGCAGAAAGAAAGAAACGTCTTACCTGTCTGCATGGTTAGTGAATTCTGCTCATGTCTCCCAAAAAAATGACTGCAGGGGTGTAAACAACTGAAGCTGCGGAAAGGCGGAAGAAGACTCTCCCTTCTGATGGAGAAGATTGCTCTAAGATCAATATAGTTATCATTCTTTAGGGGGCATAAAAAAAGGCATGCCTTTTGAGAGGCCCTCAAATGCCTTAAAGTGACCAAAGCCTCTTGACACCCCCTGGCGGCAATCTACATAAACTGCAGGAGTTTTCAACTCGGTTTTGGAGCTCAGGCTGTGGAAACTGCAACTAGAAAGTGTAGATGCATAGTATTTCATTGTGTGAATATATCATAGTTTTTCTACGCATTCATTTGTTGATGAGCACTTGAGTTGATTCCATCTCTTTGTTGTTGTGAATAACGCAGCACAATAAATAAAAGTAAAGATGGTGAGTTAAAGTTGGTGGTGCCGGAGGCAGTTCCATAATGTTGTTATGTGCCACTGAGTGGATTCCAAGTCATAGAAATCTGATATGATAAAGTAGAACTTCACTATAGAGTTTCTTAGGCTGTGCTCTTCACAGAAAATCAAGTAGATGGTGCTATGTACAGTCGAGTTGGAATTGACCCATAGCTGACCCTCTGGTGGGTTTTCAGAGGCAATAAATGGCACAGGATAAAACAGGGTTCAGATATTGTTCATTGGGTTGCTGTGAGTTGTACTCAACTCGATGGTACCTAACAACAACCACAACAGCAAATTGTAACAGAGGAAACTGCCCATCTTTCTCCTGTGGAGCTGCTATTGGTAGTGCAACTCCTTCTGAGTAAGCCACCAGACCGCAGTAACTATTAATTGGTGGGAAATAAAAAATTGCAATTTTATTTGGATCCCATTTGGGCAATTATGAGAAGACAGAGATGATGCTGTCCAAAGAGTACAAAAAATGTTTTCCTCCCACATGCAAAATTGTTTTGTCCCTATGGAGTTCATTTCATTTCTTTTCAAGGCCTCACCAAGTACGGAGTTTTCTGTCACTGGACTGAGATTATCCTGTAGTTGCTGTAATAGGTAACCCAGCACAGAGACATGAACATAGTTGCTTTTCAATTTACAATATCTATTTGATCTACCCAATAAAAACCAAGCATGATCTCTTTTTACATCCTTTTGTGTGTGTGTGGGGGGGGGGCGGTTCTTTAATTACTCACCCTGCCAAATATTGACTAACATTTACAGATCCCCAAGGTGCAACTAGGAACACAGCTCCATGAAACTTCTCTGCTTAAGGTTATATCCTAAATCAGTCTCTCTGCAGTAGTGTGTGTGTAAGTGAATTGGCAAAACAGACCAAGTTATGATGAGGGAGAGCCAGAGGGAGATAGAAGGTAAAATGTTACCTGAGGACGTTTCCACACCACCTTTCCAGGAAGCAGTCGATTATAAAAAAGAGAGTCATTCTCAGGCAGAAAGGTTGGGTCACAGAAAAGTCGGCCATCTTCAATGCAGACCTCCTTCAGGTCTTGATACCTCTGGTTTTTGAAGAATTTTGTTGACTGACTCATGGTATCGAATTATACCTAAGATGGAGGGGAAAAGAATATTCACATTGGAAGATGACAAAAAGTAGCAATCCCAGTGACATAGTCCTAGAAGTAGATACTTAAGCTTTGCATTTATAGGAAAAGTAACCAATATTGGGGGAGAACAAGAGTCTAAGCTCTGCAACTCTATTAGTTCAAGGTCACCTAAGCAATTCTGGGGTCTTAGTCTCTTCTTCTGCCACATAGGATCATACAGGCCTTAATAATCTCACTGGGGGAAGAAACAGATTTTTAAAATGTAAAGACTGCTCATAAAATGTGAGTCATTGTCATTTAAAAGACAATTTTCTACTTTACGCTGGGGGGGGCAGTTGAAGGCATACCTAAAACAATTTTAAATGTGAAGGTGAAGGAGAGAAAAAACCTTTATCAAAAAGAAGTGAGGACTCCCATACACTTTGCGTATGAGGGGAGAAGTTCCTTTCAAATTAGCAGATACTTTTACACAACTCCTTCCCCTTTCATTTAAAGAGTTTTGAAATTTTATTATATTATTATTATTATCCATGAAGAGCTCAGCAGATGGCCTCCAAAGACAAGGAAAGATGGAAAGATTGTATGAGTCTGTCTTCTTCAAAATCTAATGTATAATCATTTGCCCACGATAAAAGGCAGACTCTGAAATTCAATTACACTAATTTGGTGGACTATAGAGTCTTATTCCATGGCAATACACTGTTGCTTTCTTTTCTTAAAAAGGAGGGGGGAGGTTTATGCCATTAAACAGAGAATATAGTGGCTCTCCAGGCAATGTCTATCATTATGTCCCTACACTAAGCCCTTGACAACTGGGTTTTTGAGGATAATTTGAAAGGCAAATTTAATTTTAAATGGCTTTGGGGTGATAACAGGATTTTGAATGCTTTTGCTTGATTCACAAAGCTAGATTTGTAATGATTTTAATGATTCTCCAGATGACATTCAATGACAAATATGAGGGGTGGTGGAATTTTCATGGCATCAACTATTTTAAAAAATATATTTTGGTTAGATGGGTGGAGGGAGGGGTGAGTAAAGGAAATGGGAAAGAGCCAGTGTGAAAACAATGGACATGAACTTTGTAAGTAAACCAGTATAAAATAAAAATTTTATTTATTAAAAAGTTCCACAACATATTTTAAGGAGCAATGTGCCCATATTTATGGTCCGAGAAGATCACATTAAGGCTGAAATAAAAATTCGGGCACAAGAATTCAGAGTATCTGCTATAAAAATGGATGAAAGTAGCTAATAAAAGAAAGAAAAGACTAAATTAGCACTTTGAAGACTGATAGTCCATATGAGTTGTAAAAGGAGTTAATAGTCACTATTTCACATAAAGTGTGATATTAATCAGACCTTTCTACTAGCTCGTTTTCGCTACTTTGAGTATTACACTGAAATGTTTACTGCTCAAGGAATCTCCACATTTGAAAACCATAAACTGTTTTAACTGAATGTTATTAGCAACCTACAATATATGTGCAAAAAACTAACTCTTGCTTGGAATCTAAGAAATAAGGAGTGGAGAACAGCCACAGTTTTCCTAACCTTCTTTATTACTAATTGCTTTCAAAGTGGGGCACTGAAAAATATCTAAATGCCTTCAATGCAAAGATTCAAGTTTGTTCTCATGGTTTAAATATTAAAATGCACTTGAATTTGAAATTGTATTTGAAGGCATGGGTGGTGGTGGTTGTTAAGTGTCATCAAGTCCACCTCGACTCATAACTCGTGCAAGAGTAGAACAGCCCCAAATGATTTTCTAGGCTACAACCTTTATGGGAACATATTACCAGGACTTCCACTCATGGAGCAGCTAGTAGATTTGACCCGTTAACCTTCAGGTAGCCAGATTAGCATTAAACCATTGTGCTGACATAGTTCCCTGTTCGGGTGACTGGTAGCCATAGAAATTTTCAACTAAGTAGTGCTAGAGTCAAAATATTCTCCCAGGCTCCTTGATAGAATTTGTTAAAATTGAACTACATATTCCTGTGAGCTCAAACACATAACAAACACTACTGTGCCTCTCGCTTTTCCTAGACAAACTGCTAGATTGTCATAGGATGGGGACTATCACCTGTACAATCTGAGGCAATTAGAACATTTCGTTTTCCAGAACCTCCTAGTCTCTAACCATACTGAATAAATGGGCACCTCTTATTCTTGAGAAGTCCTGCTACCCCCACCCCCCAGCAGTTTCTTTTGCTATTCAGTCAAATGGCAGACAGGAGTCTGCAGAGGAAATCCCTGTTATAAAGAGAGCCTGTCGACAGGCAGAAACAACATCAACTGAAAAGAAAAACAGGTTTGGTTTTCAAAACAGCACAATTCAAGTAGATTCTTTCAGAGGAAGAATGCACAGCTGGTGTGTGGATAGGTCAAATCTTGATAGAATGCCTTTACAGGGTGGGGGGTGCTTGCATTTGGGGGCACATAGTGAATATGGAATAGCCTGCAGTCAGTTTGAACTTTGTGATACTTTCTTCAGGATACAATTGTAGCCTCCCTGTCCTATTGGATGTGCAGAAACACCTTCATCTGCATTTCTGATTAAATGATAAAGAAACTGTTGTTTCATTTGCTCTGCAACTTTGTCCTCTTTGTTGCCTCCATTTTCTCATTAGGAGACTGGAAGGATCCACCCTGATCTTCTCACATCATTGTAGTACCTAATGAGAAAATTTAGTGGGAAAGTATTTTGAATAAGTAGGACGGGCTCCATATATGCAATATTAAACTGTAAGCTCCCCTATCATCTCTCTTTATCCTATAGTTGCCTGGCACAGAGCTAGGCACACAATCATTGTCTGGGGAAGTTGCTAAGCAGATGTTGATCTCTTGTAGAAGATGAATGATGTGGTTAAGCCTTTGGCTGCCAATTGAAAGGTCTGCAGTTTGAACCCACAAACCATTCCACAGGAGAAAAAAAAAAGACCTGGTAATCTGCTCCCAGAAGGGTTACAGTGTTAGGAACCCAACAGGGCAGTTCTGTTCTGTCATGTGCGGGGTCACTGCAAGTTGCAATCAACTCAAAGGCAAACAACAATGTGACAATTTATTGTCTAAAATGTGTGTTTTACATTCCAGCTTGTGCTCTCTTCACGGCAGCTGTGCTCAGTAGATATTATCTATGTTCTTCCTTTTATATTGGCAGGAATAACAACAACAACAACAATTGGTTCAGAAATGAGGTAACTAGAAACTAGCAGCGACATATCAAATGTGAGTCCCTTCAATACCGGATTTGGTACACTTTCCACCACACGAAACCACACTGCTTCTTTTGGTCATTCTTTAAGAAGACATCATTATTTACAAGCTCTGAATGAGGAAAATTCTCCAAAACAAACACAATACTCAACTTTGAGGCATTCTGCCTGAAATTTATTGCCATAGCTGGCGCTGAAAAATTCTTTCTTTTCATGGCCATGAGAGAAGACAAACTTCGGATGTCCAATGGCCCACCTTTCAGAAAACTTTCAGAAACATAGATTTATGAATTGAGTTTGTCAGCACAGAGGCGAAATGAAGGATCCTTCCTCGCTGTTCCACTGCACTCAACAGGGAGGGGAAAGAGAAAAGCTTTAAGCTAAAATCCATGTATTAGGCACCTCAGTAGACTGACTGAGAGGAAAAACTAGGGCTTTGGCTAGCTAACAAAGGGAACATGGTCTTTAAGAAGAGGACCCCTGTAGATTGTCAGGCCTGTGGCAAGAGCCTTTGGCTGACAAAGAGGTGGGGTATAGCACTGCCTTGGGCCATACCATTTGAATTGAGATCCTGCAAAGAAAATATAAGGAAGGTCACGTAGTCCAGGGTAAGGGAAAAGGGTGGGGCCCAGAGTAGGGAAAGTTGGGAATTGCCAAGGGAAGAAGGAGCCTGCCACGTAGAAAACAAGACTGACATTGGGGGAGGGAGGGTTTTATCTTTGCTACTTCCTGGACTATAAAGCGTGGGGTATCTAAGCAAACTCTTTAGAGAAAAATCACTTGCTCCTTTACCTGTGGGTCTGCCTTAGGGTTGAAACGAGCTTTTTCTCTTAAAAAAAAATATTATCTAAAAAGATAATCCAGTCTATAGGGAGAGTGGGAGGGGAATGGTAAGGTGTTTCTGGGGTTGGGGTGAGGGAAGGGAGCATGACTGTGGAGAAAATGGTCCTTCCCTTTCCCCCAGTTTCCCTTTTGTTCTGGACTTGGGGCAAAATCAGTCCTGGCCACGAAAAGCTCCCCTAATCAGAGTGTGGGGTGGTGTAAGAAATAGAGTTCGGAGAAGAAGAAATACAAATTCAGCATGAACATGTCGCACAACAGTATTTTCCATGTCTATACAGGCAAAGTCCGAGTTAACGTCTGTGAGTACACATTTATCGAAGCACGTATGTTGTTGCTAGGTACTGTTGAGTCAGAACTGATTCATAGATGACCCTCCATCAGGTTTTCAGAGGCATAAAATCACAATGGAGGAGATTACCCATTTTTCTCCCATGGACCTGCTGGTGGATTCGAACCTCATACCTCTGTGTTGGCAGTGCAATTCCTTACCTTTAAGTCACCAGAGCTCCCTAAAGAACATGTGTCTTTGCAAATCCTCTGAAAGGAGCCACAAGGTTCTCTAGATTGGACCCCCTACCTCTTATACAGGTGTGCTTAGTCTGTCTAGAGAGAAGGCGATATTTAAATATAACAAGGGGGGACCCCAAAACCTACACAATTCCCTTTAATTCCTTTGTTGAAGAGGTTTATCAAGAAATAAAAATCAGTCCAGAGTCATTGTTTTAAAAGAGTACAGACCAGAAGATCCAGGCTTATGTCCCAAATGCCACCATAGAGTGTGAAGATCATCTCCATGTCCCAGTTTCCCCATAAAGACATTGAGCATAGGATAGCTTCCTTGTCTACCTTATAACCTTACTGGGAAATGAAATCTGTGAATATTCTCTTAACCTTAAGGTGTTAAAAACCTATTAAGAACAAGAC